TTGAAGCAAGAGAGAAATCGGAAAAGAACGCGTCGACCGGATAGAAAATCGTGAACAAACCCATCTTGTCAATTCTTCCGGACAGGAAATCTGTGCCCGCCGACCAATCGAATCTCACAGGGAATTTAACACCCTCCCGTGGACGGCAAAAAGGCGAAATTTCCAATTTGATTGAATCTCCGGTCGCATGTCCTTTGAACAAATATTATTGCGGATCCTAACTGAGATCGGTTGGAACAATTCGTGTCCGTTTAATCTACGCACAACCGTTCGTTGAAAATGGACGGGAAAATTCAATAAAATAAAATAAAATAAAATAAATAAATAAAAGAGATTTTTATTTGCGCACTTGGAGGGTGCGCTGTCTCCTCGAGAAATAAAGGATCCACGCTCTATTATGCAGAAGCGGTTAAATCTTACACGTGACTTTTACGAAGTGTCGATCAATATCATTTCTGGCGGAAAACCGTGGAAGAATGGCTGGCAATTTCGCGAGTCCGACGTAATCGCGCTGTTGTTGACGAATCGACACCTCGATCCCACTTTGCTCTCGTTAACGACGCAAGACGAACGCCGCTCTGACGTTTCGTCGTGTCCTATCGATATGCGAGAGCCGACGAGGAATAAGAAGTGGGAAGCGCGGGATGAAGAAGATCCATCGATGCAGGCTTGGCATCTGCGTGAACGACTTTATCGGAAAGACATAAACGCCTGAAATCCCGGCCGTAAATTAGGATCGGCAGAACGCCGGACTCTTCCTTCGCGATTTCTCTCTTTCTCATCTTCCCGAGATAGTCTAAGTCCGTAATGTGACGACCGTGTCTGCACGACAACGCTACGTTATCGAAAAATCAGATCGAGATGGCTCGAGAAAAGCCGACATTAAACAAGACAACAATTTTTTACGAGCCCGAAAGGACAATGTTGCCCCTCAAATGATTCAGTAAAAATATGCGGAACCGTTCTTGTCCGGAAGTAAAAATCATGTTGATGAAAAAGAAATTACTATGTCGAATGTGCATCCAAATCGAATAGTAATAAATTGTAAAAAATAAATATATTTTATTAATTTTTTCATTATTGTTAGAATATTATTATTATTAATATTGTTATTTTATGTTAAAATTAGTAAATGTAATTTCGAAATACTTTGTTAAATTTGTTGCTAGTTTATATTAAATAAGGTTCTTTGGCGTAAAAAATTGTTTGTCGGCGTAATAATTTGAAGAATGCCCAAGTTTGGCATAACTAGTTCAATGAACCAGATGCATAAATAGACTCTAAAGAAGAGAATAATGAAGAAAAAATGATCTCTCTCTCTCTCTTTCTCTTTACAAAAGCATTTCGTGTCCATGGCAGAAGCTAAAAATTTCTATAGTCTCATCGAAAATTAAAAGAAAGAAACGAAGACAATCCTCTCGGTTTTAGTTCTGATTCTGACAGCGTCAAAGATTAATGACACGGATTTTCGACGACACTCTCGTTCTTATTAACGAATACATCGTCAAGAAAACGAATCTCTCGCTCTAGATCTATTCTAGATTTTTGGAAATATCATTTTTTATCATCGTTATATGATGAGAAATGAATAATTTCGATTTCATTAAAGTTACTTTCAAGACAATAAAAGACGCACAATTCTCTATTATAATTTCGAGTATTTCATTATTATTAATTTTATTTATTAATAAACAAAATTTCTGGCTAGTTTGGTACACTTTTTTTCAATGGTCCTTTGATTAGTTGACTAGCGACATTAAGTTATTTTATAATATTATAATTATAATATTATAAAATAATTTAATGTCGCTAACTTAATATATTCTAATTATAATATTTATATTATATACTAATTATAATATTTATATATTATAATATTAATTTTATAATATTATAATTATAATATTATAATTATAATATTTTATAATATTATAATATTATAATTATTTTTAATTTTATTTTCTTGCAGCACGTTGAGAGGATTCCCAGCTGACTGGATAGACGTTTCAGAAATATCTCGTAGAGTACGTTGTACAGCGCACTTATATGCGTATTGCAGGGACTACTACAGGAGTTAAGAATTTTTTACGGTCGCGCGAGGGAGGACGTATATGGGGGAGGGGATCGCGACTACGACCCTTCTCATGGTGGTTGCGGCGACGAGGAAAAGAGCCCGGGGTTTGACGACGAGACGGAGGGACGAAGGAAACGACAGTGGAGCCTGCACCCGTAACAAGGATGGCACGATTTCAAGAATGCCGAGCACGTTCTCAACCAATGCCGGCAGCCAGGCAGTAAAACAAATACGCCCTTCCTATATATACGGGGTGTCCCGGTAATACCGCGTCTATGCGCCACCTCGCTTAGAGGAAGAGTGCCGCAGAGCAAAGTCGACCTCGTTACCGATACGAATGGAGGTAATGCGCTATGTAGGTAGACCGGGAGACCCCTTTCACGAGCCCCTGCGGGAGACAGGTTCTCGCAGCCGAAGCTGAAATTAACTCGACAACCGAAGTTTCCCTCGCTATTTATTTTTTACGTTTTTATTTACGAGCCCCACGCCTGCCTCATTAAATCAGCTGTCCACGTCAAACGTACGCATTTTTCACGTTCTTTCGCCAACAAGGGAGTTTTCAAGGTGTAAAGACTTACTTAATGTAAACTTCGCCAACGAAATGTGTCAGCAGAACACCATGGATTTAAATAAAATTGTTGTATATATTTTATATATATTTTATATATTTTTTATATATTTTATATATTTTATATATTTTATATATTTATTAAGTTTATATATTTATATAAGAAATAGAGATAATACTATAAAATTATTACGCGAGAAGCTAATGATTATGCGAAAAGAATGATGATAAAAATTCCGGTAAAACGTGGATTAATATCAGAGAGCTGATCGTACAACTCAAAATACATAGACATATATATAGCATTCAATTATATTGTCTCCCATGTCAAAGATGCATTCCTTACAACTGAACGCACAGTCGCCAGCGAAGAGAAGCACGAAACGGACGATAAAGGCGTACAATGGCTGGTACGAGCGCGGAAACGAATGCCCTGCTCTTTAGAGGCGTCCTCTTTAGAGGCCGGGAAGGGTGATGGACAGGTGAAAGAAGTGGCCAATGTGGGCTGGTTTCGACGTCTCATGTGACACGCATGTTAGCGGCCTTTGTTTTCGCGTCCTTTTGATTGAGTGCCTCGTGTTCTTTGTGTCCCTAGACCTGATTGTACAACCCCCTTTATCGCATTCTTCATTTAACGCTCGGCGACGGTGTGCCTCTCCGAAAAATGTAGTAGAGAAACCGGATTTTTGCGACAGCAATGTTAACGCATCGAGAAATTGGCTCCAAAATTAGAAACCTGATCAAAATCGTTCGAAATTTCTTGACTTTGGTTTTAGGACAGAAACGCAATGAATTTAAATAATTTAAATAGTACATTCGCATCGCTTTCTTGTGAACAATTTTAAGTCAATCTCCCGAATTTGATTCAGCTCACTTGACAAATGTACCCTCTTATACCGATGTCAATCGCGCGCGAATCGATTATTTTCTCGCAATCCCATTACGTAAATGCTCCGCAAACAAGAAGCTTGGCCCACACCGCGCTGGATCGCGGATCTAAACATTCCACCTGCTCTACATTTCCGATGCGCGGTTGAAGATCGTGATCCCGTTTATTCAGCGGAACCTGTTCCCACTCTCGTATTTGGAGCTCGTTGCTTTTCTTGAGAGCCTGATCTCTGATCTCGGTACGGCCAGATCGCACGTGGATGACACCGAGCTGCTGAAATGGGGGACCAGTTTCCACCTGATATAGATCACGAGCCGTTTTTCCCCGGACGGAGGACTACTCCTCTTCGCGGCTCCAAACCTGTTCGCTCGCGTGGCCGGGTTATCCCGTCGGGATTCATCCTCGCGGGCGCGTGCCGCTGAGAAAACTGGTCCATCCGGATGCTGCCCCGGAACAATGGCCACTGTCCACTCGAACGTAAACAAACACCGGGCCACGAAACGCGTTCGGTTAGCCTTTGACTCTCATTTCGAGATTCTCTTCCGGTCAGTTTCGTCCGCGGCGAAGAAAAAAACTGGTCCATCCGGAGGGAGAGATGCTGCCTCTCTTCTTCTATCGCTGTTCGCATAGGGGCTAATAAACGCGCGACCGCAAAGTATGCATCCAGTTGGCCTTTGACTTTTGGCGCGAAGAGGGTTGATTCCCCTTCGCCAACTTTGTAATATTTTGAAAGCCCGAATTGGCGTATTTTAAATAAGTGCAACCCTCTTTTCAAAGATTAATTTCGTTATTTTTATAAAAATTCGGTAGAGATATAATTGTCCCTTTACGCAAGATTTTCTTTTGATACATTTTAAAGAATTGTGATATTTTATTGTAATTAAATTAGATTAATTTTGAAAAAAATTAATAATATGATATTTAAATATTCTGTACTAGCATTACTTTTTTCCTGCGTATTTCGTGCGTAAGCTCATGCGTCGCGCTAAAATCGATTTTATTCTAGCCCTCTAACAAAGTACAGAGAAACACAAGGCAGAGTGGATAACGCAGAAAACTATCATTGCACTATTGGATAAGTTTCAAACAAGTAAAAAAAATCTTATTTATTAAATAGTATTATCAAATTATTTCCACGTATTTTAAATATACCGATTATTTGATCAAAAGTCATAAAAACGTATCTATACAAGATAACGAGCGCACAATTTATCTACCGGGTAGAGAAAATCTCAATGTTAACCGTAGGTGATGCACGAATTTTTCAATCGGTCGTTGATATATTTATTCACCATACATAAATAAAAAAATTCGAATCAAAAGACAAATAAAAAAAAATAACAATTCCGGAGTAAAATGTGATAAAATTGTTATTTAATAGTACATGCAAAACTAAAATTCAAACGTTCGATATTTTAGTTGAAAAACCGATAAGATATTTGTTGCCCTCTTTTGTTCCTAAGCAACCCCCTGGCTTACACGTATGTGAGTTCGCGAAGACGTATTGCGACGAAAGACAAAGTATGGGCTTTTAAAGTGACAATACCTCGGACGAGCTTAGCACCTGTCGCCTCGCATCTTGAAATGTACGAACCGAATCCACAACGAATGTGCAATGTTTCGCAAACCACCGAGAAAGAACAAGCCAAGTTGCAGAAGATCAAAGAACTGACAAGCATCTTAAAGGTTTATTCCTCAGGAAGTTGTAAATAATGAAACTTTCTCTTTCTCACGTACATTTATTTTTCTTGTATTTTTCTATCGAATTTTTTTTTCAAGAATGCTAAGATTTCGTTCGATTTATTGCACAGGACACGGACAAGAATCTCACCATATGCGAGGAAATACTGACGACTTATGTAAAGAAACGATTGAAGGTATGCACAAGTATATATGTCATTTCTTTGTGTATAAATTATTTATTCAATTTCGATTACTTCCATCTCTTATTGTATGAATAATCATCGCGAATATCTCTCATCAAAACATACGTCAAATAATCGATAATGTGTAATAATAACCAATGAACTCCATAAATGTGAAATTTCTATAATATTTACAAATTATGGAATTTTTATAACGCAAATTTCATACAAATATAAATTTTTTGTTACGCCAAATGCATTTATAAAATACAATTTAATAGCTCACGATGACGAAAACTATGACAATTATATGAAAAAGTCTTATTTATTAAAAAAAGATGCCAAGAAATCAATGTAAGATGCGCATTATTTTAATGATATTTTATTGATTGCACATTTAATTTTCGAAATTTACCATCCTTTGTACCAACCATCGCGCAATGACCAGCCCGGATGCCAACCGTAACCGTACAATCCATAGTTACTCAATCCGCCTAATCGATACCTGAGAAATCGAACGTACACATCAACGTCAGAGCCAAACTGCTGTCTCGAGATTTTTACCTTCACGTCGCTGACAAGATATTTATCTGTACTATTTACCACGGCAACACGGGAGTATAAGTGTCTACGTAAGCCGCAGGAAGCAAGCCTCTCTTTCCTAGTTTCTTTCCCCCTAAGACTTCCAGGACGCTCGGTTGAGCTTGGAAAAGCGTGCCTGCTTGCGGGGATATGTCGTTATTCCCGGCTATTTTTTCGGTGACGAGAACTTCGCCTCCCGACACCAGAATAATCAACGATAGCAAAAACTAAAACAATTGTCGATGCGTTAACAATGCGACTAAAAGCCACCGTAATCAGCGAACGATTAAATTAATTAAAATAAGTGTTTCCTTTTAATATCACAATAATATTTTTGTATGTATTTTCTTATCGAAATCTCAATCACATTTTTTTTTAAATAATAAAAACATATATATTAACATATATATTATAACATATATATTACATATTATATAACATATATATTATATATATATTATATATTATATAACATATATATTATATATATTATAACATATATATATAAACATATATATAATATATATATTATATATATTATAACATATATATATAAACATATATATTAATATTAAATAAATACAAAAATATTAAAAACATAGTTGAAAGTTAATCCAAGAATCATAATAAAAAAAAAACAAAAAAAAACGAATAACTAAGAGAAAAAAGCACCAGTTTTATATTTCAATCGAATTGGTGTACAAGTTTAATTATTATATAATTTAATTATAAATTCAAATATTTAAATGTTTACCAGCAGCTTCATATTAAGTGTGGCGCGCACTTACAAACTGATGCTGTTTAAGGGTTGATGCTCCTTTTATACCGAGCAAGTCGTTCGCTGAATTTATAGTGGGTTCTAGAATCGCTGCACATGTAACATCTCGACTGACAACTTTGCAAGACCACTCCCATGTAAAGAATCACCAAATGACATAACGAGTACGCGATTCATTACTGCTAATCCTCGAAATGAGAATGTATTCGTGATAGATGAGATATTCGAGTATTTTTATTTTACCGTTTTACTTCTTAAAGTGTGAAAAGTACTATAAAAGATCAAATTTTAAATGTGCGTATAATAATGAAATTATGTGATGAAATTTCATGAATTATTTAACATCAAATGCAAAAAGAAAGGGAGGAAAGAGAATGTCCTTTTAACTATTGTACATGATATAAAAATGCTTTACTTTCACGCGACAACAAGAACTGAGCAGAAAATATTGACAAGCTATTACTGTAATCGCTTATCATTTTTGCCAGATAATTCCTAGAAAAAAATATGCCTTAAATAAATTGTCCTCTCGCGAAATTTCTTCGCAGGATCTTAAAATTTCTCTCTATTATTAAATTAAATTTGAAACTCTAATGTATTCATCATAGAAATGATTTTACTTTTTATAAGTATAAATATCACACACAATATTTTTTTCTTTCATTTTATATAAAAATAAATTAGAATTATTATATGCATTGTATATTGTTATATAATATTATATTTTAGAAAATCGCAAATAAATTCTACTTCTCATTATTAAAATCAAGCAGTATCTATTTCATATCTATGATGTTTTTAATTCAATTAAAAACATAACAAGGTTATAATGCCGTGAAATTTTTACTTTATATAATTTTTACACTAATTCGCGAGGCTGTTTCCGATCGATTTCAATAACAATCTCTAGCTATAATTATATATATTAATTAAAAGAAGTAATTAAAATCGATCACCACTGGCAATATTTATTGAGGTAAAAAATCACGACGTTTCGACCATAGGTTTTGGTCCTTTTCGAGTGAATTACAAAAAATTATTTCCAGTATTACAACAAACAAGAAAAATTAATAATACTAAATTACATAGATGTTCAAATAAAATTTGAGCAACAAGTTATATACATACAATAATTAAATTAACTGTTCTATCGTGAGAAAAATAAGAAATCACTTCATCAAGATTATAATGTCTCTGTCTCCATCAACACACAGAGAAAGACTAGACAACCTTTATTATTCTATCATAAATATTGTTTAAATTTTCAGTGTCCTTTTGTAAGTTAATCGATTAACTTACAAAAGGACACTGAAAATTTAAACAATATTTATGATAGAATAATAAAGGTTGTCTAGTCTTTCTCTGTGTGTTGATGGAGACAGTGACATGATAATCTTGACGAAGTGATTTCTTATTTTTCTCACGATAGAACAGTTAATTTAATTACTGTATGTATATAACTTGTTGCTCAAATTTTATTTGAACATCTATGTAATTTAGTATTATTAATTTTTCTTGTTTGTTGTAATACTGGAAATAATTTTTTATAGTTCACTCGAAAAGGACCAAAACCTATGGTCGAAACGTCGTGATTTTTTACCTCAATAAATATTGCCAATGGTGATCGATTTTAATTACTTCTTTTATTTATTTACTGGCGATCTTCAAGAAATTTAAATTTATATATATTAATTATTTATATATTTCCTACATTTATTAATTTCATAATCTAACGATGTTGATGATCTAATTCAACAATATTTTTAATTTCTCATTCTTCATTTCACACTCGTGTATTTAAAAAAATGTTAACGAGACAAAGAAACTGTTTGCATTATCGTTAATTAAATCCCAACATTGTCGTTCGTATAAGGAATGTTTGATCTATCTAGTCGTGTAATATCAAGTATGCTAAGAATATCGATTATGCAATCGCGAACCCTTCCTTAAAGGTGCAGCATGTTTTTGTTTCATCCCTCCCTCGCGAATCGTCGCCCTAAGAGGTTTTATCGTCGCCAGACTAGGAAACAGCGACTTTCTCTAGACCAGGATACACAGAACAGGTCGTATACTTTTGTCTACTTACGAAAGTCCCAGCTAGGAAATATCCGAACTAACGCAATGTGTCGTCGTCCTTGTCGTCAGCCAACGACATCGAACACAAACGATACCTCAAATCGACATTTACTCTGTCATCAGCCTTTCGCAACACTGCCATAAATTCCTGTTCTTTCTTCTATTGTTACAGCCGATTATAGTCGTGTGCACCGTAATTGTTTTTATGGAATCACTCGCATCAGTGAGCATGTATAATATTTTATGTAACGCCGATATATTCGGCGTTAAATGTACAGAAATAAAAAAATATAAGTAGTTACACTTGAATAAATTTCTTATATTGTGAAGATTAAATATATTTAAATAAACTGCTTATTATGAGATTAAATTTTTAAATAAGTATACTGCGCAAATAATACTCAAAAAAGACGAAATTGATACAAGGATTTTAAATTTTGATAATAATTCTGGTTTACATAAATTTTATAAATTTTTTTAATAATATTTTATTCAAATTTAATTATCATATTTTTAAATCTGCCATTTTTCAAATCAACAACTCATTCATAAGCATATGCATTAACAGAAAGGTTATTTTTAATTCATCAAAAAAATGAATATATCGTTTGTTTCTTTATTTAATTCATGTTTCTACGGAAGAAACGATAATATTGCTTTTAAATTCGCTTCCTGTTTCAAATTATGAATGTGTAAAATCATAAAGCTATAATTCATATGTAAAAAAGTTTGTTACAAAAATAATTTTTTTTCGCATCAGCAGTTATGGAATAGAGGTTTTTCTTGTATTCATTAGATAAGCTATTATAAAACTTCGAAAATGAGAAAGAGGACGGAAAAAGAGAAAGAGAGAAAGATAGAAATACCTAAATATAAATTAATTTTACGCCTACACGCACCGGTGAATCCCCTTTCACTGAGGAAGTTATAAGAAAAATGCAAACGTTCACAAGAGATGGAGTCTTTCATAATATTAACTATTGCTTTTTTTTAATTTTTTACATAAAAGTATTTAATAAAGATATCATCCCAATAATCCACATTAAAAATCTATCTCTCTCTGAATCAAATTTGCTACAGTAATAAATTAGTCTCTTATATAGATTAAAAAATTAATTAAGTTAGAATTAAATATGCAATATATATATTAATAATAATAAATGCTTCAAAATTTAACATAATATTAATAATAATATTATATGTGTAATTATTTTAATTAATTAAATTAATTATTTTTCTTTAATTATATTTATTATAAATAAATATAATCACATGTAATTTTGTTAGTTAATTAAATTGATTAGGAAAATTTCTTATCATAGATTAAAAATTTCTCAAAATAATAATCAAATTGTTTTGCAATTTAAAAATTTTTTTTTTTAAAGTAAATACCGTTTACAATTAAAAAATGAAAAATCGAACATAACTTTATTTTCAACGACATAATAACCTTCCTTTAAAAATTAATGAATTTGTCATACACATTGCATATACACATTAATTACACGCTTTTGCGCGTGTAATTAAAGAGTTTGTCGAACCAAAATTACACAGCCTAATTCTTTCTTATATTCTTTTTGTTAGTAACACTTATTCATTCGCAAGCACTTTGCCTGTTCCTCCATCACCTGTCTTACATCGTATCGCTTCAGTTGTCGCAAATCAACGAGTCGGCCCGTGCAATTCAAGTGAAACTCGACATTTCTTTCCGATATTATGCAAAAATTTATCCCCGCCAGTGTCATTAGTTAAGTCATTGTTTCGCGAAACCTACGCCGTCGCAATTTGCCGACAGTCATCGTGGAGTCCTAAGACGAGAAGCTTTCGCGCGATCTGACATTTTATTGTTAAAACATTTCTTGCAATTGTGACTTTTAATCATTCCTTAATAAATTATCATACACTTTAATCCAAATAATTAAATAACATAACATAATGCGTGATTTGTGACGTAAAACAAATCGGTTAAAATATAAATGACACGTGTGAATTTTTCAAATAAAATAAAAACTGCATCTAACAATAGAAGACTAACGATAAAAACTATTTAAGAAACGCCAAAGTGATGTGTCTTAATTCGCACGATTATTATAAAAAGTGATTCAACGCATAATCTAATTCAATGTGCGATTGTTGCCGACCATCAATTAAGTGTCTTACAGAATGGAATCGCGTATATCAATATTCATTCTCTGTTTATTATACGTCACGCGAGCTTCTGAGGTGCAATCGGAAGAAATCGAGTTTAAGGAGAGATTCCCGAGAGCGAGAGCCGTCGAAGATCTATCGAGACTAGATGCATCTCTGCAGGAACCTGATGGAACCGACCGACAATCCGCGTATAAACTACGCGATAAGAGAGCTCTCGGTCTTCTGCTGTCAGGTTTGGCCCAGATCTTCGGATACACAGTGACTCCGATTCAAGTCGCCTCGCTGCCGAACCCGACAAACGTCACGAGACCTGCGATGTCGAGCTCCACGATGGGGCAACAAACTGCGTCTACTCAACCAATGTCGATGAACGCGACAGCGCCGAAACAACAGGAAACCATCCGATTCACCGGCGTGGTGAACTTCGGCAATAATACGGATATCATAGGCCATCTTCAGCGTTACGAGCAGATCTTCCACGGTCGTCAAAATAATGCGACAAACGCGATGATGATGACCTCGCAACCCGTATCGATGCCGATGCCGATGCCGATGCCTCCTGCGAAAATTTCGGTGGACCCGACAATCAACTCGGCGACGAGGCCACCCTTGTTGGCGCCATTTTTCGTCAAGATTCCGTTGCCGATCGCGCCTGATCTTCCACCAGCCACAATGCCAATCGAGAATTTCAAATTGTCGGTACCCACCTCGGCATCAATTTCAATCATGAGCGAATCAAACAAGATCCTGGAAATGCCGATGAGGAAAGAGCAAGAAACGATATACAGAAATAACGAGAACACAGAACGACTCATGGTGGAGGAAAAGGATATCTACGATGAGAAAGACGTGATGAAGCCGATGAGCCATCATACTCATCAGCTACACGAGCCGAGCTTGCAGCAGCGACATAAACAGGAAGAGCGTATCGAGGAACTCCAGGAGCAGAAGGAACGGACCAACTGCGACATGAATAAATATCATAAAGATAAGATAAACGAAAGAAACAGAAATCGAGAAGAAGAAATTGCTCATCGAAATCGAGAACATGCTTCCAACGACGAATCAACGGAGGAGAAAACGCCAGCGGATGACGATGAAGAGAATGAAGAGTCCGCTGAGAGATACGAGGAACGTCCCAATCAAGCAAATAAGTCGAAACAGCCTCCAAGGGAGGACGAGAGCGAAGAAGTTGAAGACGACGAGCCCGATCAACAGTTTCGCGAACAACCTGAGAACTTTGACAAGTATTTAGAAGTGAGCTACAATCAGCAGTTACCTATCGGCGACTATTTCCACGAGGGTGATCCCGAAATGATCCGCGACAGCTACGGTGAAATATTGAATAACAAGAAACTAGAAGACGACAGAATCGGATACATCAACATGTTCAAACATCCGCCTGTTCCCGAAGACGCATCCGGAGAAGATGAAAAGGAGCAACCTCCCGCGGACGGTTACGACCAACACTTGATTAGATTACAGAAGCTCCGAGAAGAATACGCCTTACCGAAGAATAAGTATGAAGAATACGACTTGAATGACGAGAACGAAGCGGAAAGGGACGAAAGGGCCCAGAACCGTACGTCGACTCGACCCAAAATCCAAGGACGTGTTCGAGGCAAGGAAGACAATCCTCGCGCGAGGATACCACCTGGAGTAAACCAAAATATTCTGCGCGATGACGCCGGGAACACAAAGTCGCAGGAGGAGATAGATCTCGTGAGACACGTACCTCTAATCGTGCCCATACGTTACATCGATGCGAACAACAAGGTTCAGCAGGCAACGACGCAACAGTTGAGCTACGAAGAATCGGATAAATTGCCGAATGGTCGATTCTCTCAAGGTAACGTCGATGCCACGCAAACTCTAGCCAAAGAGAAGCTGACTCCGCTGATCGGTTTGCCCGAAAGACCGCGAAAGTTGCACGAAGGCGAGCACAAAGAATTGCAAGTATGGCCGCCGCCCTTCGATTACGCCTTCGACAATACGGCACCGACCAGAACTGTTATTTCACCCAATTCCCAGAACCCTTCAAATTATCAATATGTACAAAACATCGCGGCAAATGACGCGAACAGCGAACATTCTTCGGAGCAACCTTCCGGTTTCCTGGTGGTCGTTGGAAACTCAGCACATCCGTATCGATATCCCTACAACGTTTACTACTTCCCGAACGAAAATACAAACCCGCAAAGTCAAGATCCTCAAAATACCGAAGCCACATATCAGCGAAGCCAAGTCTACGTTCCTCAAAATACTAATCAACAGTTTATCCGAGTGAACTCTAATCTTAGCGAATATAATCTGAATGGGACCACGAGGGATCGCTATCATCAGCCTCACGAAGCTCCAACCAATGTTCTCAATCGTTACAGATACATTTTTAACGAACGCGTTCCTGAGAAAGAATCGGTTAATGTTGACCTTAGAAATCAAATTCCTAATAACTGGTCAAGCAGAATATATCAATCGCAACCGCAAGCTGAGCAATCTTCTCCAGTCCTCATGCAGTTGCAAAATATGAGGTCTTTACATCAGAATTTGCAAAGTAGGCCTTCCATTTCGCGTTATTCGCGATCAGCGAGAAGACCGAAAAATCCCCAAGCAAAGGATCAAGGCAAGAATGATGGAGAGATGAAGAGTTTACAACCGATTCCGACAAATAAATCAGAGGACCAACACGAGGATGATGGAAGGATGAAGATTCTAAAACCGGCCTCGACGAATAAACCTTTCGACGATCCCCAGAGCGCGCACGACTTCTTCGGCTTCAACAAGGACGATTATAGCTTCGCAGGCGAAAGCAGCGACGCATTGAAAGTCGCCGAGGAGAACGGTAAAATTATGAAAGAATCGGACATGCCCCTCGATCCGGTCGTTTATCATCATGACGAAAGTGTCATGAAACAAGCCGACGAACCGGAAAATGATACGGAGAAAGCCAAAGTCACAGAATACAGGAACAAAGTGACGACCTTAAAGATATCGGAGCAGAGGCAATTAACCCCGAACGGACCAATCCATTACGTAAACTTTATACGTAATATTTAATTGTGGCATCTTATAGGAAAAATTCTAATAAAATGTGCGACATTATTAATTTGTATATTATTTATAAAACTTATTTCGAATATGGAAAATTTTATTAATTGTTAAATAAAAATATGGAAAATGTTATTAATTGTTAAATAAAATAATGTAGGCGTATATGTTTAATTTATACAATAAATTAATATATGTATATTATAATATTCTATCTTTCTTTTTCTCTTTTTCTTTTTTCCTTTTTTTCTCTCTCTTTCTTTGTCATAATATATAACAACATATATACATTTTCATATAAAATAAAATTTGTACAAAACGTTATGAAAATACACATTAAAATACACATTAAAATACACATTAAAAAATTAATAGAATTATATTCACACACACGAAATTCGATAAAATTAATTTCAAAATTTTATTTTAGAGGACAAAAATTATTGATTCATTTAATATTATAAATTACAAATCCAGTAACATTCTAATGTTTAATTAAAAGAGAAAAAATAATATAACTTCTTTGTTTTTGATTAGATATTTAATTTGAAATTAAATTATTTAATATTAATACACACAATTATATTTTGCTAACGATAAGATCTTCAAATTTTAAATTTCTATTAATATAAATGTAATTTTAAATCAATTAAATCAATATGCAATTTTAAAAAAATTTCATAAATTAAAGAAAAATAATTTTATCTCATTCATGTTATGTATGAAAACATTTTTTTAGCATTTGTACATGTTGCAGGAAAAAAGAGAAGAGATACAAAGAAGGAACGAATTGGAAAACAGGATGGCCGAAATACTGGAAAATTTAAAAACGCGATTGTTGGTTGAATAAGGCAAATCTTAAATATATATTAAATGTACATCTTTACTCATGATTTATATGGATAATGTATTGCGTTTACGTCACTTGTTCTTACGTTCTTTATCTCGTAAGAAAATAAAATTATATGATCTATTAAATGTCAATTTATATCATTAAATCATCTTTTATATATATACAAAATGATATTATTTTATAAAGAAATATATCAAAAATACATATATTTTAAAAATACATATTTTATATATTAATTAAAATTTATATTTATTATATTATTATATTTAATTATTATTATATTTAAAATTATATATATTATTTTATATATAATATAATATCATTTGTATCATCTTATTAAAAATCAGTCTTTCTTACCAAAATGTTTAAAATATAATTTTGTCTTATACAAATGTCTCTTCATAAACAATAATAATTCTTATACTTATTCAATAAATAAAATACGATACTCGACATAAGATTTTTTTCCGAATACAAATATTGTCGTAAACTAAATTTATCAAACAACTATTTTACTAACTGAACGGAATCTCAAGACGCGATCTAGATTATTTTAAATATAAATATATATATATATATATATATATATATATATGTATATACATAAATATATATGTATATGTATATACATAAATGTTTCGTGTCACGATAAATCTTGTAAAATCATTGATTTTTAATAGTATCTCGTCAGTGAAAAAAGATGCTTTCGAATATTACACTTTATGTAGCAAATTTTTTATATTGTTCTATTACAATTTTCATAACAGCAAAATATTTAATGCTTGATGCTTTATATATATATATATATATATATATATATATATATATATAATACAATGTGCTAAATTATAAAGTGTAACATAATTAAAAAGTATTACTATTATTAGTCGACTTAATTGCAAGCTATTCCTAATTACTACACATGTTTATCCGATGCATCTTCTTCTTCAAATCTTTGCAATGTTGTGATCTGTCGCATTCCCAAGACTATAGGGACTCGTGCTTCTTTCTTCTTATCGTTTTATCATTCTTTTCTCTCTTCCATCTATAGGGACTATAGGGACTCGTGCTTCTTTCTTCTTATCGTTTTATTATTCTTTTCTCTCTTCCATCTTATTCAAAATATATAATAATTATTAACTAAGTATTATAATATATTATAATATAATATAATTATTATATTAATAATTAATAATTATTAATATAATAATTATAATTACGGTATCTCTCTTAGTCTGACTCTTTCTCTTTGACCTATCCGGCATGGGTGACCCTACCAGTAATTAAGGCCGGTGTTTACACAGTCTTATATTTAAAATCGTTTTAAGTAAAATTTAGAAAATGTTTGTTATTTCATTGAGATTGAATAGAATTTTAAGATGCGATCTAAGATTATATTTAAGATGATTAAATATAAAAACAAATTGTATGAATATCGGCCTACGTTACCGCCGGCATAGCTCTCCGGATCATTAGAGTACTCAAACCTCCTCACCCGGCAAATGCCTTCGTTAAGGTGGAGATACCATCGAAGAGGTACAATTTTTTTATTTTATTTTCTTTTAATATAATGTAGGTTTTTCAAATTTTCCAAATAAAAAATATAATACAAAGAATGTATAAAATATACATATATTATATATATATTATATAATTATAAAATATTATAATGCATAATTACATAGCTTGCAGTCATATAAAAATATATTACAAAATATATATTATAATTATAGTACAATTTATAAATTGGTATCAACATCAACTAAATATGTATTCGAATTTATTCAAATATTTTCAATAATACGGATAATGATATTGAGAGCACACACACATTTTTGGACTTACAATAATACTATACATATAGAAAGAAAAAAAAGGAAAATTCGGAGAATAAAATAATTTTTCGAAAAATAAAGATATTTTCCATTTTTCGACATTTATTCAAGATTTATTTTCTATTGTTACAAATATCTTTTACACATATTTTTGTTATCATAATGTGTTTTCATATTAGTATAACTTCATGTTAGTATATTAGTATAACTTCATATTAGTATAATTTCATGTTTTCATAATAGTATAACTTAATATATAATATTTTATTTTAACTCTAAATAAAATAGAGTTATAAAATATAAACTAGAAAATTAATTAATATATAATAATACAATCAAATTGAAAATATATAATGTATAACAATAATGTATAACAATAACAATAATAAAATATATATACATAATACACACACACGCATATATATATATATATATATATATATATATATATACACATATATATATATATATATATATATATATATATATAAAATACATAAAATTGTTAATACATAAGATAATACATAAAATTTTTCGTTGAAAATATATAGTGTAATACATAACAATAAAATGTATATTATATATAATACATAAAAAATTGTTATGTAGAATATATACATAGATTACTTTATTATATTACACGAAAATATCCGCAATACGTACAACGTAAAATTGATTAGAAATTTTTAGAAAATTTTTAGATTAGCGTAACTGATAATCTATCGCGACTAAAAAAATCATTAATAAATTTCTCGCTTGTGTTCCTCTCAATTAAGAAAAAGTAATTTTAATGCGAAATTTTAATTCATTTTATAAGATTTTCTAAAAGAAATGTTTGATGACGCGGAAAGATAAGTAAAACTTTGATGTTACCCAACAATTAAATCAGAGAAAAAATTAAATTTCGCGGTTTAAATTTCGCGAATATATATGATAAATAAATAAATTAATAATAACAGTAATATTTAACCACAACAATACACATAATTTCTATAATAATCGGAATACAACGTGAGCAATATAATTATTATCATTTTGTGCGACAATAAAAATATTGCAACATTAGAGGCGCATTTCATATAATTTGCACAATATTATAATATACGTAAGGAATCAAACGCGGATGCAGAATCTAATAGTCGATTTCTTTTCAAATATACAATTTTATGTAAATTTCGCAATCAAAAGTAAAATATATATCTTGTTCCGCGAACAATTGCAAACAGGCTAAACTTTAATATCCTTATGCCTTAAAATAATCGCGTTATCGCCACGCTCAATGAAGAATAACTGGCCCAACGATTAGACCAGATCAAAATCCCTCTGCCGAGTGACACGCTGGTTAATATCTGACAGAGAGAAGAACGATCCTAAAAGTGGGAAGCGACTTCAATTTGTCTTATTTCTTCTATTTCGGATCTCGCGAAATCGATCCACAACGGATAGTTAAGTGATTCATTAAACATCAGAAGTTTCTCTACAAGAAAGAACGAAACCCCGATCTTCCTGACTGCTCCCGATAACAGCGATTTCGGCAGCGGATTAACGACTGTTACCCTTCTTATCATTTTCAATATATAATATTAAAATTCGCGTAAAAAAACATCTTCTTCCATTTTAAGAAATCTTTTCTTTTTACTAAAAAATGACTGGATATAATAGTTTTTATATACATGTTACAATCAAATATATTTAAAGGTAAAATGAAATACATGCGCTTTTATCGTTGCTTAATTAAATGTGTGAATAATAATAATTTTAGGGTACCAAATTTGTTCAAAATTCGAAACAAATCAAATCTGATAACAGCAAGATTTAAAAAAAATTCAACTTGAATATTTAGCAATCAAATGAAAGATTATCAAGAAATTAATTTTTCTGTTGCATTTAACAGTTAAGACTTAGCACGTAACAATAATTTGCAGATATCTTACTGATATCAGAGTACCCATTCGATTTGTCTCGAATTTTTTAATTAATCACACATTTTATATTATATGCATTCCTAATATATTATTAAGAATAATATTAAAAAATAGTTTTTCAAATATGTCACAATTTACGCACATGTATTTTATTATATGTACACTCTTATCTAAAATAAACTAATTATAATACACATAAGATAGTGGAGCATCCAGTAATTCCTGCAAGTGGTTTCTTAAAAGAGACCAAAAATAAAATTAATTCAAAATTAATTAATAAAATATACTTGTTTGTAACCATAATTTTTCAAATAATAAAAATTTTGCACAAAAAAGTTTGCGCAAAAACTTATTCAATTAAATTTATATTTGAAAAAGTGAATTTTATCTATTATATCCATTTTTGAATTATTATTTTCATTATTAAAATAATAGTGATATTAATAGGAGGATATTAATGGAAGAAGATTTTTAACAAAAAGAGAAAATATATCTTCTCTCAAAGTATAATGAATTTTGTAATTCGATTTCAAATAATGTACGGTGATTGTCGTTAAATCACTGTCAAAACATTGTTTCCAGGAACCGCCACGAAAACCTGGGTTTAATTCCTACTCTGTAATGAAACTTTCAATTTTCAATGAGGCACCGAACTAAGCGTTGTGGATAGATCTCACAAAAACCGGCGAGAAATAACTTTCCGCAATGAAAATCGTTTCGATTCTCCGCCAGTACAAACCGCGCATTTGCTAGCGTCCACCTGACATGAGGGACAGCGATAAGGCTTCTTCGAGACAGCGATCACATCCAAAAACGTGAAAAGAACGCAACTGTTTGCAATATAATTTATTATAAAATCGTAAATCAATAAATCGTAATCTATAAATATTTAACGCGATGCGAAATTCTCGAAATACATTATATTAAAAACGATAATCAAAGAAAATTATTTTGTTTTATAGATTTTAATTTCCGCATGATTGATAATGTTTAATATTTCGCAATATTTTATTTTCGAATATACTTGTGTTTTCTATAATATTAAAAGAACGATAAATTTTACGTAAAAAGCTAATATCTAATTATTGGGTTAACATCGTGTTTTTCTTGATTCACTTTTATTTAATAATTTTTATATTATGTAAAAAAATTTTTTTTACGGTATTTGCGCGATTACGAAAGTTTCTCGAATTTATTAATAATCTTTTAGTATAAAAAATAAGCTATCCAAATATTTGAATAATTTTGCAATAAAAATATTCAAATAAAATATATCAAATGTGTTAATTAAACAAATTTTGTTATTGTACGTATTCGCCTAATTTCGTATAATGTACAATAGATTTCTTTTACATTATT